TCCTGAAATAGGAATATGATGGGGGGGGGATGAGCAGGCGTTCCCTAGATGGAGGCAGACAAAAAGCAGTTTTGTTATTTCTGGTGAGCAACCTTCGACGAAAACCGACTTGCATACACTTTTTGCTATTTGTGATGCAGGAAAAGCAGCTGAAGAAAAGCCCTATAACCTTTTGTATATTGAGCGTCTCTCTTGCTGCGGCCTCACACGCACAACTTCAGCATGCTGACAAATCCAGAGCTTTGGCAGGCCTGCTGAACCTGCGTTTGTTATCTTCCCCACCTGGAGGTCTGGGTGATACCAACCTGTTGCCTTTGCTTTTATTTGATTTGACCGACTCAAGGTTTGCAGCATCCAACTGCGACAGTCTGAGTACATTATGTCGTGATCTAATCAGTTTGTTGGACAGCAGGAGGGGGGGGGGGGCATGATGGATTACTCTCAAAGCGTAACAGAATTTATTGCTCAGCAGGAGTTCATTTTACGACCTGGCTATAGATGAGCCATCTGCGCTCCTTTGCCTTCTCTCCAACAGGTGTGGTCGATGGATGGCTACTATAAGGGCAGGCGTGTGTTAGAGTACAGGACCATGGGGGACTTCACGAAAGGCCAAAACTTCGTGCAGCATCTGTTACCCCACCCCTGGGCGGGAACCGGCCACGTGGTCTACAACGGGTCTCTCTATTACAACAAGCACCAGAGCAACATCCTGGTACGAGACTGGGTCACGATCAGTAACAGCTGATGCTGATGATTGACGGTCGACTAAAATGAGATGCTGTACGTGTATGTACATGTGTGTGTGTGTCTTTCTAGGTTCAGTACCATTTCCGCTCTCGCAGTGTGTTACTCCAGCGTAGCCTAAGCGGTGCAGGATACAACAACACCTTCCCCTACAGCTGGGGAGGATCCTCTGACATCGACCTCATGGCAGATGAGACAGGACTCTGGGCTGTCTACACCTCCATCCCAAACGCTGGAAACATTATGGTCTGTCTCCATTTTCTCTAACTTTCCTCCACAGAGACACATGAGACACACTGCCACACAGCAAATTTTGACTGATTTAAGTGTTATGACTAGCACACTGAAACAGAGAGAAGAAGCTGCTGTGCTGTACATCAAATTCATGTGTAACAGCCAGGATCTTACGTATGGCACTGGATCTTAAGAAAACACCAGCAAATAGAAACATCCAGCAAAAACACACGATATGCAGTGGAATTTGAATAAAGCACAACGCAAATACAATGAAAACAAACGACAGAAATCGACAAAAAAGCCACACGCTCACAAAAAACACCAACACACACAACAGTTGTGTTTTGGGGAGACAGTTAGTTATTAGCTGTGCCCTAAATCATATCCTCGCCATCATCTACTTTATAATGCACCAATGAACATTGTGCTGTTTTCAGTAAAGACAGAAACTAGTGATCGAGTGTTTTCTGAATCAGTTGAAATGTAGGGTCATTTTCTCATCCACCTCCATCAGAAAGAAGACAGGTTTATGGCTCCTTGGCTTCTCTTTTCAAGCCCACAGGTTGCATCCATCTTTTATGCAGATGGTCTGTGGTACTGTGAGGCCCTTTAGAAATCAAAAAAATAAAAGTCCTCTCTCATGTACAATCTACGACAAACACGCTGCTTTCAACAAATTTCACCATTTCTGCTGCTAC